TCGTAGCCACAGCGTCCAAGGGCCGGGAGCTCCTTTCCCTCTGGGGTTGGGGCTGCGGAGCTGGGCCCGTGCCTTCGTGCAGTTGAAGGAAGACCAGCCAGCGCCTGGCGTGAGGCCGGCCTGACTCTGTGCTCTCAGCGTAACCTGCCTCCAAGCGACCCGACCCGCTCCACGTGACCTGCACGCCACGTGACCTGCACGCCACGTGACTCCCGCGCCGCAGCCCCGGGCTCCTTCGTCTGCGAGGTCTGGAGGTCTGGGCGTCCTGCTCCCCAAGTACTGCTGCTCTGAAGGGCTGTTAACTGGGCCCTGGAGCTTGGGCGATGTCCCCAGGGTGTCCCTCCGGCCTGAGGGATCAAGCGTGGCGCTTCTCCGGGGCTAAGGCTTCTCTCTACCGTGTGGGGCGGAAAGCCTGACCCACCGGAAGTGCTTCTCCACGTGTTCTAGAATGGGGGCGGGGCCAGATGCGGCCGAGTGCACGTGGCGAGGCGCCGCGAAGACGACGGGGACGAGGGAGAGGATGCCTGATGACACGTGTGCTCCCCGCATTATCAGGCTCCCCCCGCCCAGGGCGTGTTTTCTGAGTGGGGTGGAGTTGACGTCACCAGCGCCTGCCACGTTAAACAGTGGCCACTCAATGTACAGTGGCATAGTTAATCGCTCTATTATCCAAAAGAAAATAATGTGAGCTACATATGTAATTCTAAATTCTAAATTTTCGCTGCATTATAAAAAGCGGAATTATAAAGGCGAAATTAATTTTAATGACATTTTTGCGAACCCAGTATATCCAAAATGTTGTCATTGTTTGATGCAATTTTTAAGACATATTAATGAGATATTTTACATTCTCTAATTCGTATTGTTCTCCATATCTGGTGTGTATTATACAATACTGTACATGACTAGCCTCATTTCAAGTTCTCGATAGCTCTGTGTGGCTAGTGGCTCCCATATTGGCCAGCTGGAAACTGTGTGTTTGTAGACCAAAGCTATGGGCAATTTCTTCAGCCAACAGAGAGCTCAGAAAATCAGGAGGCTTTAGGAAGACACCACCAGGAAAGTCATGCGGGGATGGCTCTATCCATTCAAATGCATTCCCACAACAATCATTTCTTAAGCATTTACCTACTAATGTTTTGCCTTGCTGCTCGCAGAAGGTGGATGCAATCCCTGCTCTCCCTAAAGCCTACACCCACCTGACCTTCCCAACTCCAGACTTCCTCACCTAGTACTTAGAGGCAGGGTTAGAAGGGGGCAGTAGCCAGAAATGGCCTATTTTTTTATGGTCTGTAATTATTAACAAACCTCACTGTACCCTTTTAGAAAACCTAAGAAGGTTTAAGCTGTTTTTAATATTATAAACTATTTTCAATATTTCAATATTGCATTTTAAAATATGTTTAATATATTACGTGCCTTTTCTGTGTTACATCTGAGTGTGCTTTCACATACACCACAATCTCATTTAATCCTTTCAATAACTCTGATTTTGGGATTTTATCCCAATTTTCAAATAGAGAAAGTGAGGATTGGAGAAGTGCTGTGATTTTAGGGTAAGGGAACTTTCGAGAAAAAAGGTTTCTAATGCAGGTCTGTCCATTTTCCCTCAGTGAGGTCTCTTACAAGACCTATGGGGAATGTCAGGTGATGGGATTATGTACCTCAAACTCCAGATGTCTGCTAGGAAAGCAAATGAAACATCCTGGTCTCACCTAAAACCCAGAACAAGTCCTGGGGTACAAAACTTGGGTCAGCTCCCGACCTGATACTTATTAGCTGTTCGGCAGAACAATTCATAGTAACACAACTAATTAGCATTTATTGATCTTCTTCTATGTATGGGGCTCTGGGCCAGAAAACTGCTTACATACTTCCTCTTCCTTATAAGACAGATAGTTCATTTTATAGATCAGCAATCTGGGTCTCAGAAAAAGTAAATTGCCAGAGGTCATACATCCAATAAGCAGGAAAACCAGGATTACAAAACATTATTAAATGTATTAATGTTTGTTTTATAATGTAACTTAAGCCCACCCACCCCTCCATTGCATACTTAAAAAGCACATCCTAAGGAATGTCAAGACCACTAATGGATACCATAAACAACTGTATATTCATGCTACAAATTTAAAAGGCTGCAAAGCATGGGCAAATAGGAATTGTTTTCAATATGCTTTTAAAAAAATAGAAAAATAAAGGCTTTATTATTCATTTGCAATGTATGGTAACTTGCCAAAACAACAAAACAGCTAGGCTCTCAAAAGAGATAATTATATTTGCACTGTTCAGCTCATGGGACTTTTGCATTGAGAGAGAAGGAAAAGCAAAAGCATGTTAAAGTGTGAAGAAGTGACAAATGTCAGAGATTACAAATATGTTTAAAGCAAACTACAGTTATATACTAATATGGAATGTTTGATGATACATGCCCCAATCTTTACTGGGAGTCTGCAACTTGAAAAAAAATGAGTAAAAGGAAGAAAATGTAGTAAGAAATGAAAGAAAGATAACAGAAAACTGGTGAAAGGAGCTGTCTTTCTTGAAAGAGAACAGAGGGAGGGAGGGGAGAAGGAGGAGAGATACAGAGGAAGGAAAAAGAATGGAAAGAAGGACTATAGAGAATCAAAAAGAAAAGAACATAAAAGATAAAGGGAAAGAAAAAGCTATGAAAAAAAATAAGCATGAACTTTTGGGGTCAGTCAGTTCCTTGAAGAAAAAGAAACTGGCCATGACCCGCTTCGCGCTGGGGCTGGGTACAGATTTTTTGCGACTGTTTAGAGAAAATCTAGCACTTTCCCTACCATTAATCTTTTCTAAAGAAAGACTTTGTTCTGCACCTGTATAAACAACCCAGATTTTTAAAACCTATATGCCTGCCTCTAATGTGTGAGACTATGTATTTATACTGATAGATTCAAGTCATCAATAGGTGATGCAGAAAGTTAGCCTGAGATCTCCTTTTTACATCTTTTTTGCTCCCCTTCTCACTTTTTACTTCCCTCTTCACCCAGCACACCTGAAGTCAAGTTCAAGTTCAAGCACTCCGCTAAAGAACTCTACATTCTGTCCAGTACTGCCTGCCTTTCCCCAGCCACGAGAGAACTTAAAATGAACTATATTTTTATTCCACTGATCCCAAAAGGAGCCCCTCCCCCATCCCTCAACAAAATGACAAAATATACAGGGAGAAAACCTCAGCGAATGATGGTGACACGGAGAGGTTGTGTGAAACATCCCCCACGAAGGAGGCCTGGCCTTGGAGATGAAGGTGGAACGATGCCTGAATGATGAAGTCAGCCCCGGCCAGCCACCTGTTGCAGCACTTCAGGCACGAAGCCGGGAGCATTTGTTCTGTTGAGCTGGTGGAGGGAAGCTGGCCCCAGGGCTTCTTCCCACTGTCCTGGGCTGACTGCACATTTGTCTCCTTGCGCTTTGCTGGGTTCGGGAACCTATGAACTTTCAAGGAAATGACAAGAAAACTGGTGTGAAGATTCCGCTTTCTCATTGCAAAACGGAGTGACCATACCTTACCCTATTTGTGGTTTGATTATTTTGTTGTTTTAATTGCTCAGTGGGCAGTCATAGGGTGCCTAGCCCAGTAGCTGGCCGCTGGTGTCTGCCTCCAAAGTGAAGCATCCATCCCCAGACCATGCATCGCAAAGGTTCTATGAGTTAGAAAATGAGACTGCGGTTTTGTTTTGTTTCCTTTGGGTGGATCCCAAAGGAAACAAAGGGGCAGAGGGTTTATTTTGGGGTGGTATAGGACACCATAATTCTGGATGCTATTTTGTCCTTTTTATTTTGGAAGATTGTTGTGAGTTAGCATTCTGCATCCAAGAGTGTGCTCTGCAGTACACAATCTAAAATAGTAATTGATTCCCTAGACTATATCTCAAAGAGTTGGGGGCAAGATCCTCTATTTTATGCATTGTGGTATTAAAAACAAAATCAAGCATGAAAGTCTCAAGACGGTGGAAATAGCATATATAACAGCTTGTGGTGCGTGGCGGGGGAGGCGTGTAGCAAGCAACTGGAATACCGAGGGGCCAGGGATGCCAAACACGCATTTCGAGTCCATATTCTACTTACCAGCCTGGCGACTGGGGGGTCTTTTAGCTAAATATCTATCTCTGCGTCTTCACTTGAAGTTATGCAAAGTGGAGATAACATTTAAGTCACAGATATTGTTGGAAAACGGAACGGACCAATAGAGTCAAAGTGTTTTGTAAATCATAAAGGTTAACCGCTGGGGATTGCTCAGTGTCGTTTGCTTTGTTTTGCTTTTTTTTTTTTTTTTTTTTACGCTTTTGTCCGGCAAGCCTTGGGGAGGCAGTCGTGCAGTCGGCGTTACGCACCGGGGGAAAAGAGTTCCGCTGAAAAGATCGGGAGAGGGAGAAGCAGAGGTCGCGGTCCCGGGGTTTCCAGGTGTCTGGCGACCGTCGCCGCCGCTACGACTAGTCGGGGGTGGAAGTAGGGTAGGGTAGGGTGGGTCCGAACAAGGTCCCGCCCCGCACTCGCAGGACGCACACTGGCCCCTCACTTGACAATCGGAGGGTCCCACGGCCCCGGGGCCCCAAATCTCGGCCCGCCGGAGACTTCCCCTTCCCCGCCCCCACCAACAGCTCCCGAGGGCAGAAAACCGGTCCCCACCCCTTCCACGCCCCCGCCCCACCTCTTGCCCCCCTTTGCAACCCCCTCTCCCTCGCCCCGGTGGTTTGTTCCGAGGAGTACAAATAAATAGTCGTGTCAAAAGGCGCGGCTCGCGGTCGTGCGCGCGGAGCCTGGCGGGGGCGCAGACTCCCGGGCCGCGCTCTCCCTCCCGCGGCTCGGCGGCAGCCTCGCTCCCGCGGCCCCGCGCCGCCCGCCCGGGCCTCGCGTGCTGCTCGGGGTTCGGCCTGGCCCCCGCCTCCGCCGGAGGGAGCGGAAGGCCGAGCCCGCGAGGCTGGCCTGGGGGAGCGAGGCGGCCGCGCGTGGGCGTGGGCGTGGGCGACGCGGTGATGTCCACCGGCTCGGTGAGCGACCCCGAGGAGATGGAGCTGCGGGGGCTGCAGCGGGGGTACCCGGCCCCCGCCTCCAAGAGGCCGCCCCTCCGCGGCGCCGAGGGCAGCTACATCTCGCCCAGTGACAACTCGTCGGCGGAGGAGGAGGACCCCGAAGGCGAGGAAGAGCGGTGCGCGCTGGGCGCGGCGGGCGGCGCGGAGGGCTGCAAGAGGAAGCGGCCGCGCGTGGCTGGGGGCGGCGGCGGCAAGAGGCCCCTCCCGCCCAAGGGCTCGGCGGCCGACTGCAAGCAGTCGCAGCGCAACGCCGCCAACGCCCGCGAGCGCGCGCGGATGCGCGTACTGAGCAAAGCCTTCTCGAGGCTCAAGACCAGCCTGCCTTGGGTGCCCCCCGACACTAAGCTTTCCAAGCTGGACACGCTGCGGCTGGCATCCAGTTACATCGCGCACCTGCGGCAGCTGCTGCAGGAGGACCGCTACGAGAACGGCTATGTGCACCCGGTGAACCTGGTAGGAGCGCCGCACGCGAGGCCCGGGGCGAGCGGCCGGGAGACGCACTGGGAGCCCCCGAGCGCCGGGCAGAGCCAGCCCGCGGGGAAGGAACCCGAACGGGGGGTTCTGGAATGGGGGACGAGGAGTCCAGTTTAATGTATCCCAATCAGGGGAGGGGCCAGGGCGCTTTCTTGGAGAAGAACCTCCACCCGTCAGTGTTCCTTCACTCTGATCATGGTACCTGGTACTTTGCCCCGTGACAGCTCTTGGCCGGTCTCTTACGTCCGGGGTGAATCTGGGTTCCCTCTGCATCCACTACCCGGTTGCAGATTGAATGGCAAATCTCTCTCGCCCAACTTTTTCCAGCTAAGAGTCTGAGAAAAGAGTCGATTTCACAAGCCCTACTTTCTGAAAGGAAGGAGGGAAGGCCGAGCTCTACTTAAGAGCCTTTGGATTTTTTTTTTTTTTTTAAGTTCTTGCAGAATACGAAAGGTTTCCCCAAAAGGGATTTGTCTGGAAAGTCCCTCTCCGACCTGCCAATTTTCCCGGCTTGAGAAAGAACCTATTCTAGTTCCTACTTGGAGTGGAGGGCTGATGGTGTGCCTGTGTGTGTGTTTAGGAGGAAGGGAATTAAACAGACAAAATCCCAAACTCATGCAAGTTTCACGGAATCATCCTGAGAGACCAGACCTCTCATGTCTCATGCAATTAAAATTCAGTAAAGTTAAAGTCCTAGTTTAGAGAGAAGACACCCAAATTCCCAGAGCACTGATAAAATCTGAGCTACTAAAAACCAGGGATATTCCAGGGTTCACTTAGGAGAGAGGTTTCGGTTTGAGACGGTACTTTCTCCAATATCTGACGCTCTCTTTGATTTTACAGACATGGCCTTTTGTGGTCTCAGGACGGCCCGACTCTGACACCAAAGAAGTTTCCGCAGCCAACAGATTATGTGGGACCACCGCTTAGATGGAACTCTCTTGCTGGGATTATTGTTTAAGTGCGTGTGTTTGGGGGCCACGGAGAGAAGGGAGTGTGAGAATCCCCAGAGGATGGGGGAAGTTCCATCGGATTCTCCTAAATTCTCCTTCCCCGCCCCCACAACGCGAACTGTGTGAACACGACACGTGGCGGGTGTTGGGGGCAGAGAGCCCGAAGGGGTGACCGCGTGGCTGTCATCACAGGACGCCGAGGTCTGAGGCTGCTGTGGATCCGGGGGCGACGACAATTTGCTTCTCCAAAAAGAGCTTCCTTCTGTCTCTGCAGCTCGAAACCAGATCCAACCTCGGACTTTTAACAGTGTAGACTAACTCAGCGCCAAAAACGCCTAGGAGCTAGTGTCCGACTGAGCCAGATCTCTGTATATGATGGCGCGGCTCTGCACAGCACGGGCATGTTAGGCAATGGTCAGAACGTGCTCCGGATGATTAGCTTTAAAGACGGCAGTGTTCGCGCGTGACCAACATCGGGGCATGTCTTTGGGTTGCAAAGAGAGGAGAGTGGCATCCCTGGGCCAGCTTTGTTCCCCCCAGGGCGGGGGCACGCACCCTCCGCCCTGGGAGAGGTGGAGGCACGCTTTCACAGGCCACCTGGCCCGGGTTTGCAGGGAGCGCTCGGGCGATCCTGCCTCCAGGCCGAAGTCAAGCCCTTTTCTCCAACCCCCAACCCTCCCCGCACCCGAGGCTCCCGCCTCTTCCCAGGCCGGCTTCTGTCTACCCTCTTACTCAGCTCCCGGTGTAGACTTGAGCATGGACCCCCTTACCCCCCGCCCCCACCCCCGGCACACCGCGCACCCCCACCCCCTCTGGGGTCTTCTTCGGGCCTCCCTCTCCTTCCTTCCACACCTCCTTGCAGCCCCTCCGGCTCGCGACCATCCCCAGCTGCCCTCCCCCACCCAGGCTCTGGGGGCCTCGCTCTGCAGCGCAGCCTCCCCGCGCCCACGTCCCTGCTCGCGGGAGGAGTGCGCTGGGTGGTCCGCGGCGGCGGCTGGGTGCCTCGTGACCCCCCTCAGGGGAGATGCGCCGCGGTCTCGAGGCTGCACTACCACAGTAACTAGCAAATGTAAATAAATTTATTTTTGTATGAATAATAAAACACAGTGTGAAACCTGAGTGGCCCTGGGCGCTGTCAGAATGTGGTCTTTGTCGCCTTTAGATTGGTACCAAAGTTCATTTAAAGGTGCCCTCTTAGCCCTGGGCTGGGACTGGTTCTTTACCGGCGGAAGGGTGCTGGTCCCATTTGGATCACCGCGTTTCCAAATGGAACTCTCTTTACTTTCTATGATTCTGATTCTTCTGGAGGCCAGGGTTACTGGGAGGCAAGAAGCCTAGGCTTAGTGGCCTGAAGAGTCTTTGGGGGCCAGGGCCACGTTGAAAGGTATTTGCTCTACAAAGTGATATAGGTGCATGTCTTATATTTACACACACACACACACACACACACACACACACACACACACACACACACGATGCTTTCTGCAGCTTAAAGCACACTCCAATCCTTAACTATTGCAAGTACTTCAGGAACCCCACAGCCCACACACCGGAGTGGGGGATGGGTCTCAAGTCTAATTGGCAGAATAAAATCATAATACAAGGCGCCAAGTTGTGTTTCAGTTGAGCTTTTTTTTTTTTTCCCAAATGATGTTTACACAGCGTTTCTAACGCACACCACCTCGTTTTCCTTGTTATTTTCTTCCGTTTTTCACTGCAATTTTCTCGGGAAGTAATAGCCTGGGAACCCATCAGATGGTTTTTTTTAAAATGCCAGTCTTTTTGAAAGCTGCATTCTCTTTGTAGAACATTTAGAAAATTAGGAAAAGTGTGAAGGATAAAACTACCTAAACAACTGCCTGATTTGGGGTGTGTTCGTTATTTTATAAAAATCGAAAGGCAGTTTTCTTGACCAGAAAGAGAAAATACAGCTGGAGTTTAGGAGGTGAGAGGGAGGTGGGAGGGGGGGAGCATGATTTCCTGTTTTGAACTAAACTAAACCAAAACTCTGGAGAACTGCTTTCTGAGACCATTTTCTTGAGCTTTGTTCATCAGAGGGCTGTGGCCCTCAGGATCTAATCTTCAGCAGCAGAAGTGGGCTCAGGGCTACACTAGCTGGTTTCCATGGCATTAGGAGTTCCAGGGTAAAAACTAACTCAGTAGGGAGTGACTAGTGACAGAATACCCTAACACAGTGGTTTAGATGCACTTAGGCCCCCTGGGAAGTTCTGAGTGGCTGGCTTTTGGCGGGGGGTGTCTCCTGGAGGCCAGCTCTCAGACCAAGCCTTTGCAAAAGCTTCCATCAAAAGCGATCCTTTTCAAGGGAAGGATGCAGTGTAGTATGTTGTTAAGATGAACCTGAACGTCTATAGAACCCCACCTGAAATTCAAGCTCTGCCATCCACAGACTAGTGGCCATGTGCAACCCCATTAAGTCTTAGTTGCAGTATCTACGAAATGGGAGTAATAATAGTGCCTGCCTGGGAAAATTGCCATCAGAAAAAAAAAAATGTGATAATTTTTAAGCAATCCTTCTAGTGGGCAGTGAAAAGCACCCTTAAAGTTGACTCCTTAAAAAAGTGGGGACACTTGCTTTGACAAAGGGGGCACTTTAAACAGGTGGGCATTTCAGGAATCTTAAAAGACTTGGAAGCCCAGCTTTAAAATGCCTGGATTACAACTATAAAACCGAAGTGTCCCACAAAAGCAGAATAGAAAATGGGGGGAGGCTATATTTGTATTAAATACAGATAAGAAGAAGCATTTGAATAAACAAGACAATATTTGGGCACATTTTCATAAATAAAAAATTAAATACTTCTTTCTATAATTATATTCTCTTAGGGCACTTCAGGGGTAAACTTTCCTGCCCCTCCTCTGTCCCTGCTCCCCACACTGAAGTGGGGCTCCTCACTGATTTACACAAGCAGACTGTTGTATCCTGCATACTCATTTTTATTGCCACTTCATAATCCTATAATTTATAGAGAAGAAAAAAACTTTCTAAAGAATTGTTTTTGCTCCAGTTACTGTAAAAAGTTCAATGCCAAGTCTTAAGTGATAAGAAAGAAGAAGAAAGCAAAAGGCCAATTTCTAGTAAATCTCAGTGAATCAGGGTAAATTGCTCAAGCTTCTGGGCAAAGGTAGCTGTTGGGAGAGGCTTTAAGCACCTTGAACCAGTCTTTTCTTGATTGGCCATGACCACTGTGCACACTAAGTGGTAGAAAGGCATTCCTCATTTTCTTTTTCCTTCATTTTCCTTCAGGAATGTGGGTTGAAGAAATAGGAGTTGGCCCTGAGAATGGTGGAGGTTAAGGAAAAAAAAAATAAGAAAGAAGAAGAAGAAGAAGAAGAAGAAGAAGAAGAAGAAGAAGAAAGTCTCTCTTTTGGGTTATTTCAGTTTGATTATACTGCTGTGTGAGAAAAGTTGAGGGGGGAAAAGTCTAAGAAATATAATGCAAAAAGTACTGAATAGCAAAGAAAAATGAGTAAATTGAAAAATACTCTTGAGGGGGCTTTTTGAGAGACCAGGGCATTATTATTAGTGATACTGACTCAATCAAAGAAAACAAAAAATCCCCTTTCACAGCCTCTTCCTAAGATGAATATTTTAAAAGAAATGCTTTCGGCCCTGTAATCTTGAAACAGGCGTTTCTCTTTAGTTGTGGATGTTGAATCGATTGTGTGCATATTCTTCTGCACCAGGCTTCAAGTTACAGCTTCACTTTAGCCTGATGGCTCCTTCAACAGATAGTGACATTGACCATCACAATTTACAAAGATTTTTAAAAATAAATACAGATTTCCCCCCTGGTGGTAAATGCTTCATAAATTAAAAAAAAAAAGACAGTCTCTCCATAAAAAGAACTAAGTGGCACACATCCTATTCTAATAGGCAATTTTAATAGGTAAATAGCTTGGCTACTAATTTTGAAAAAAAAAAGCAATAACTGAGAAAGTCATTTTAGTAATGTTTGGAAGAACAAAAACAGATATATTAACCATTGACTTCTCATTGCCAAGCATCTAACTTCAGAGAAAAGTCGCTAGAAGGTACAACTGGTTCCCTTTGTAACTGAGAACCTGGCTACAGCCCTTTCACTGGGCACTTCTGCTTACCCCCTGGGGGCGCCCTTGCTTACATTTTTGCACTTCCCATCCACCTTTCATCTCCTGTTCTATTCTGTTCTGAGCCATTGTGTTATCTTTCTTCTCTCTCCCATAACAGTGAAAGGTGAGTCTATGACTCTTAAAAGAGTCTAGAAAGTTGCCAGAACCTGAAATCCACATGTAATCCTGTAAACACAACTAGCAGTAAGATAGTAGTTCTCTCAAATTATTTCACCCCTGTTAGTTCTACTATCACCAAGATAGATAGATTATGGACCAACTTTGGGATCTTTCATTGCCTGTAGTAAAGAGGATCATGGAGCATTTAAGAGCAGTGACTTTCTGTTTGGTAAGAACATGGCATCTGTATTGACTATTACTATTAGCAATAGAAATGGGCAGGGGTGGGGGCAAGGAGCAAGAGGCTTTTGTCTTTTACTTTTCCTTGTTTGTTAAAAAGAGTTTATATGTTATTTTTGGAACTTAAAATAAAGTACATTTTTAAAGACTGCAAACTACCGCGTCTGGATGTTGATGGTTCCAGTCTAGTCCCACAATTCTGTAGCTCCGCAAACTCAGGTGACTTTACCACTCTTCCATGAGACAAGAGTGATAGATCTTACCCCACAGAAAATGGATTAAATGAGATAATTCTATTAAGCACTTGAGAAATGCTCCATAAATGCTAATTTAAAAAAATTGTATTCCTAATTTTCTTTCTTTCCTCTAACAGTTGTTTAAGTGTCCTTACTCTTCATCTGTAAATTTGTCCCATCATTCCTCTCTGCCACTGTTATCACCTTGCTTTTTATGCCATATGTAATTTTCCTAAACTAATGGATCTTTCTTTTTTTGCCACTAAGGAGAAATTTTCATTTAGTTTCCTCTTGAAAATAGAGATCATAACACTCAGCATCAAAAGTCATGTTATGGGGGACGCCTGGGTGCCTCAGTGGTTGAGCGTCTGCCTTTGGCTCAGTTCAGTGATCCTGGAGTCCTGGGATTGAGTTCCACATCGGGCTTCCTGCATGGAGCCTGCTTCTCCCTCTGCCTGTGTTTCTGCCTCTCTCTGTGTGTCTCTCATGAATAAATAAATAAGATCTTTAAAAAAAAATCATGTATGGGATAAAAAAAACAAATTCATGTATTTATACAAGATGACTTTGATGTAATAGAATACAAAAAGTTCATTGATACGATTTCAGATTCCACATTGCAGCCCACCTTTCAGAAACTACACTTGTGAAATCTTTGGCATAATATCAACGAATATCCACATTAACTGAAATGGCCACCAATATACTTCTTCTCTTTACAGCTACATATGTATGTGAGGCTGGGTTTTCTTCATATACTTTAACCAAAATAACATATCCTGACAGATTAATGTAGAAGGCAGAGATGAGAATACAGCTATCCTCTATTAAGTCAGATGTTAAAGACATAAACTATGCCACTCTTCCCACTAAAATGTGTTGGAGAACATAGTCATCCTTCCTTAGAAATATGTTTGTTACAGTCACATGTATTATTGTTTTTTAAAATGAATTTTAAAATATTTGTTTCGGTTTTGATTTCAAATCCAGTAAATATCAATGGATATAAACCACTTAAACAAAAGCATTTCAGGGTCTTTAATAATTTTTAAAAGTGTAAAGGGACCAGAGACAAGACAAAATTTGGGAACCACTATCCCATGTAATTCCTAAGGCCCTTTTCATTGATAGGATTCCATGTGTTCTTGATCGTGTGGCAATCTTAGCAGGACAGGAGTAAGTAGATCATGTTTAGTTGGATATAGGAGCAAATATTTGATCAGAGAGATTTGTTAGAGAATTTGGGAGGTGGTGTCTTGGATGGGGCAGACGTTCCCCCAGGAAATACCGCTGTAGTCTAGCCAGGCAAATCAGCAGGGCCAATGCCTAAGCTGGTGTCATATAG